TACTGGAAGGAAACGTTCAGAGTTTTCTTTAACTTTTTCAACTTCTTTCTTCTAAGTTAATATTACGTGTGATTTTGTCCACAGCATAAGTGAACAGAAATTCACGAAGAATAAAGCTAGAAAATTATAATATTGCTCAAAGAATAAAATATAAGATTATTTATATTATTTTTTTTTTTTTTTAAATATAAGTTTTATTTTCTCGAAACAAAGGAAGATGGAACAAAATATGTATCGAAATATTATATATTTTTATATTATATATTATAATTATAAAATTATAATATTATAAATTAAGAACGTTGTAACGACGAAGAAGGATAAATTACGTATATTGATATTACGTAATTTTAAAAAAAAAAGATCATGTAAAGTAAGAAGCAAACTACTGGTAAAAGAAAAGAAAAATGTAACTTGAACGAAATAATAAAAATGCACATTGACATTTTTATTATTAGAGTAAGTAGGAAAATTCTGTTTATATTACTGTAATACTAATTCAACAAAACGTGATGCTATAATTCTTTATCAAATAATATAAATATCTTTTGTTTTATAAAAAATAATAATACTTCAAATAACTTCAAAATTATAATTAATATTTTAAATCTGATAGTTGATATCATTTTTTTAATACGAATAATTTCGATTCAAAATAGTTTGAATCTCATTGTACAATTTTCCATTTGCTATTCTATAATAAATATTGATATTTATATCAACATATCAGATTTAATTTTTCTCAACGATAGCTATATATTTTTACATTTTCATATCTATGTGAAGACATTTTTATGTCATATCTAACTGTTCTTCGATATCAACTATATTTCTTAAAGCAATGAAATCAAAAGTATACATAAAAGGAAAAATATTTCTTTCAATATTCTTTGAATATATAATGGAAAATCTATACATATATTAAAAACACTTGAATATTGTACAAAAATATTAGGTTAAGAATAAAGAAAATAATATACAATATTTTCACTATATATTATTATTTTGATATGTGAAAAATATTATATTTGATTCAAATTATGATTTAACAATCAATTTTGAATAAAAAAATGAAACTTGCTATTACAATAAACTTTTAAATATTTAAAGATTGAAAGCTTAAATACACATGATAAAAAATAAATATCAAAATAAAACAATAAGATCATATATGAATGTAATATAATTTTCTAGAGCCAGTTTTTCGCTGAAATTAATATCTCTCGGTCATCAACATGAATTCGTTTCCACGGAGAAGTCATCGATGTGTCGTCCTGATAGAAACATCTGATCGGAATCTGTTATCCTGTTGAAATCGCAAGAGGAGGTGCGGCGAGGAGGGAGGGGTGAGTTCCAAAATTTCATAATAGACAATCGTATTATCATGACAATATCGAATGATTGGTATCATTCTATTTACTCGGCTATGATTCTATTTTTAGGAACGAAACAAAAAAAAAGAAAAAGAGAAAATACCAAGAGAAAGAAAGGAAAGAACAAAAAAGAAATTAGTAATATCTGAGCGAAGTTTTCAATTCCAGGAAATTTTTTATCCTCATTCGAAATGTTAAATTTACCGAGATGGACGTGACTTGAAGTATAGTATTATTCAAATATACAGTTTAATCATAGTTCAAAATTATGGATTCGCATCAATTGTTTTCGAGAAAGATATTTCATATCCGATCGTTTAGATTTACGTATGTGTAGATAGAATGATAAGTTGAATCGATTCTATATTATTAATCGAGGACACGTACGTAATTCTAGCGTACACGAAAGTATTTTCCACGAAAAGACTTGTTTTGTTATTGTAATGATTTGAAATTTCTAAAGTTAATATTAAATTACGATAATTTTTATTATTTTTTACATTTCTTCTTTTTTTTAATTTTCTCAGTTCGTTTTCTTCTTTTTTTTTTTTCTCTCTAATTCTTTAATACATATTTTTTTTTTTATTACAATTTCTCCAACATATAGACTGTTTAATTTATTATCGTTTTAAAGAACTTTTTATTGGTCATTTGCCACTTGTGAAGTTCTTCTTCTATTATTAATTACTTAAACTTTATTAAGTTTTGATTGTTCAAACTTAGTTTAATGAATGTAGATTTTGTAGAATTTACACATGAAATTGTTAAGGCAGGCTTACACGAAGAAAAATTTTACATTATATTTTAAATACTTAAAATTTTTAATAGTGTATGTCCATTCGTTTTGATAGATTGTTTGCTAGATAGAACACATTCAATTGATCGATTAGATAGGAATGAAAGTATCACATTGATTGCTTTCCCTTTATTAAAAATTCTTTTTCATTGCAGACTGCAATTGAGAGAGAGTTTGATATTTAAGTATTGATTTTACATTAGATTTATGGCTTATCCATGTTTGAATTTAGTGTTTGGAATTTTTTTCTTTTTTTATTTGTATAAAAATATTCTTTTATCAGTATAATAGTATCTATATCAAATAAATCTCTAATTGATTTTAGAGAGATATATTCTGACATATAGTGTGAAAATTTATAGCAAGTTTTTTTATATAATTTAATAAATTTTTTATATAATTTATAACATATGTAACTATAAGAATATAGGATTTTTAAAAAATTGCTTTTTCTTACAAATCTTATTTTGAAATATAGATATGTTATCAGATATGAAGATATTATTAATAATTATTATTTAAGATTGATATTTATATTTTTACTCAACTATATTTTGCTCTATTCTATATCTGCTTTTTCTTTTTTTTTTTTTGAGTTTCTGTTTGAGAAAGATACTCAGAAATAAAGAAGTAATTTCAAGAAAGTGAGATAATGGCTAAATTGAAAAATGGAAAGCTGTACAAATACAGGAACTTGAATTAATTAACTGTCTCAAAATAAAGCACAGATTTCGCTTTTAATATTTTTAAAAATAATTTTCTTAAAAGTTTGGCAAGAATAACAATTATTATTAATTATATTTCTACTTTTGCATTACTACATTCTATACCTGTTACTTCTTTTATAACACTTTGTTCGTGTCTCGTGTTAAAAAAGACTAGGATAAGAAAATACAATTTCAAAGAGAAAGTGCAAAGTAATGGGTAAATTGAGAAATGGAAAAACGCGCAAATACACAGGCTTTAGGTTAAATAACTGCAAGAAACTTGTTCAATGTTATACGAACATTTAGAAGAAGAAAGCGGGGAACAATAACCGTTTCGAAAGAAGGAAAGAAAGAGGTCTGAAAAAAGAAATGCGAAGCAAGGAAGAAAGTGGTGTAAAACAAACTGTGAACATATTGTCTAAAAGGAGCTCGCTATTCGCAGAAGAAAGAGCTATTGTGCGCATAGTGAAGAAGAAAATTCTCATACATAGTCGGCTGCTAATGCAACGTCAAAGATTCGACCGAGTGCGGGAAAACGATTTGAAAAAAAAAATCTTTCGAAATGGTGATGAAAAATCGAAACTGTTTTTTCGTTGTTTAAGAGATCTTGCGAAAGAAACTGAATTCACTTTCATTTCCAACTGAAAACATCGGTTGGAATCGGTTGGTCAGAGATAAAAAAAAAAAAAAAACAAGAGGGAAGAAAACGAAAAGAGGGAAACGAATGGGAGAAGAAACGAACAGAGAAAGATTGTCGGAGAAAAAACATATTCATTTCCGTGTAATGTTTCCAGTTTTAACCAAGTGGGGCGCAATATCTGGCGACAGAAGAAAATTTAATAGCGTTTTTATTTTATCTCGCGAAGGGCGTGGAAATCAGGGACAACTTTCTTGCTGAAAGAAAATTTCAACTCATAATTAAGCGCGGCGAAAGTTTCATTAAGCCGGTGAAGATTTATGACGGCAAATGATGTCGGTAATTTACCCATCGCGGGGGTAAAAATCATAAATTAACACACGCGTGCATGTATGGACAGTTTGAAGGATAATCTCAGATCGGGTCTGGATATTTGACTTTTCTCTGTTAATTTCGCCCGTCTCATTGGGATAATCGTTTAAAATCCTCGGTTAATGGACGGATGTAACCGTGCGAGAACGTCTGGAAACTCTGTCCCAATTTCTATGACGTTAACTTAGGAGAACGTTTATGGGGTTATACTCGAGCGTAAATCGGGAAAAATTTAGGTTCCACGGAGGGCTGGTTTAATTAAATATTTAAGGAATGAATGGGGCAGGGACAAAAATGAATTTAAATTCTTAGAAACTGAGATGTATTAAAACTTGAAACTAGTTTCGAATAGTTAGAACTAGTTTCGACTAGTTTTGATTAGTTAATAGTTGACTCTTTAAAAATAATTTTGTCTAGACTAAAACTAATTTGAACTAGTTAATATTAGTTCGAACTAGATAAAATTAATTTTGAATTAATACTGTATTTCGTTAAATATTTTAGAAAAGAATGAACAAAAATTAAATTCTAACTGTTGTTAAAATTGTTGAACAAAAAATTTAACGTTGTTTAATTCAATTTTTCGATATAACTTTATTTAACTTTAAAGTAGATTGAAAAATTCAATTAAATAAATTTGACAATCTCTCGAAAAGTCTTGAACAATCTGAAAATTGAAACATGTTTGAAGTCATCTCTTAAATAAGAAATGTTCTACTTTTATTAACATGCATATATGTTAAATATATATATATANATGTCTCGCGACATCAATAAGTATAACAAGGTAACATCCTCCAGACATTTCTCTAACTTGCGACGATTAAATTATTCCCTAAGCGTGTGTATCTCCCCCCGATATTTCAACTATTATTATTCATTTGGCTCTAGAGTATAAAAAAGAAAGTAAATCTCGGTTCGTCTCATCATCGAGAGAAATGTCGACGAGAAAAAAAACAAGGGCTCGTTTAAAGCCTCCCAAATCCTCGGTCGGTTTCTACGCTCACGTTTTCGCGGTTATATCTTCGATCCAATCGCGAGTCGACTAAGCTGAAACACGACTTGACCGTCACGACTTGATCGTCTTTTTCTCTCCCCCAAGGCTTGTCCTTCTTCCATTTTTTTTTTTTTTTTTTTTTTTTTTTTTTTT